AACAGATTCGCTTCCACGGCTTCAACTTCTACTACTAGAGCAAACAGGGGATCTCCACCTCCCCCAGAAACTCCCATCGATCCACCAAGCGAGCTTGGAGGTGGAATCGAGGCCCGATATGCTGCATCTGGAATTGCAGGTGCTGCGACTCTAAGTAGTTTACAGGCGCAAAATGCTGCTGCTGCTCAGCGAGCTAATCAATATGCGCCGCCTCCTGTTCCGCAAATGCCACAATCGCCTCCCGCCAGACCTTGGACTCCAACAGAGTCTCCGGAGAATGCGCCGCATGGCCCACCTAGAGTATATCAAGGCTTGAATGAAATCACTCCATCGTCGCCTCCACCCTCTGTCACTCGGCCCCAAAGACAAGGTTCGGCGCCACCAGCTAGCACTCTGGAACAGGACTTTCAACGCATGCAAATGTCTGCTGAAGAGCCACCGCCAGCTTATTCTAGTGTGACTCCTGGGGCCAACAATTCACAAGCGTACCCGGTTGAGAAACAACAGCGTACCAATCCACCTGCTGCCATAGACACTACACCAAAACCAAATATTGCACCGTCATTAGCAACTCCCGCAAATAATCCTGACCACCCTGCATTTGCGAACGAGCCACGACAAGAACAAATTCCACACCAACAGCCTACTGAAGCTGGTCCATCAGCTCAGCCTGTTAATGTTTCTCCTTTTCAAGGCGCTGGTCCGTCATCTCCACCACCGCTCCCAGAGGGCTGGATTGCTCATCTCGACCAGAACTCTGGTCAGTATTATTATATCCATCTTCCTACTCAAGCCACACAATGGGAATTTCCCAAGGGCCCAACTCCATTGAATGATGTTCCGCTTTCACCAGTACAATCCACCTATGCTGGGTATGGAAACCCCATGGCGTCCCCGGGTTTGAGTATGTTCAACAAACAACCTCTTGCATCACCTGGCTTTCAAGGAATGGCCTCGCCTGGTTTTATAGGCTCACCAGGATTTCCTCCACACACCCCGGGCTATGCAGAGAGTATTATGAGTATGGCGTCAGGCACGCCAACTACTGCAGGATTTTCCGGGCCGCCTCCCACCGCAGGGGTTGACATGTATAAAGTTGCTCCCACGAATGGCGTGTATTTCGGTCCTTATCTGCGATACGTGAATATGGATATGGAGAATGGTGTATGGCTAGGTACAATTATGCTTGTGACAGATGCTCCACAACCACCAACTATTCATATCCATCAAAGTGTCGATCTGTCACCGAATCCCAGGCAACTCAGACCAAACCCTATCTATACGCACCAAAGATGGGTCTTCTATCGCTATGATGTAGATTTAAAGATGGGAGAAGGTCCAGGTGATAAGTGGACCTATGCTATAACTTCGCATTTGGGTTGCACGCGATATGAGTTTTTGGTAGCCGGACGTTTCGAGACAAATTGGAGATTTATTGCACATTCTGGTAATGATTTTGCTATGAATACTACCGTCAACGAGCGTTCAAAGCTTGGCGGTATTGGTTTTATGTGGAAAGACATTTTGCAGAAGAACGTTGAGTGTGGTGGTTTCCACGTGCAATTGGGTTTAGGTGATCAAATTTATGGTGATAGACTATGGAAGGAAGTTCCTTTGTTGAAGCAATGGCTTGCTATGAGTGGCAAAGAAAATAGAAGAAGTGCGGCATGGACAGCGAGACATGAGGAGGATGTCTCGCATGCTTACTTCCATTACTATACTAGTCATTTTGATCAACCATACTTAAGGGAGGCATTTGCTCAAATCCCTCACATTCTACAGATCGATGACCATGATATGTAAGTTTCCGACAATGTATTTCTTCACTTTTACTGTCACTAACACTTTCAAGTTTTGATGGTTATGGCTCTTATCCAGAATACATGCAGAATTCCAACATGTTCAAAAACATTGGCCGTATCGGTATTGAGATGTATCTCCTCTTCCAGCACCACACCACCGTTGACATTCTTCGAAATGTTAGCACTGATATCGATTTATTTACAATTACTGGAGCTGGCTGGCACTTTGTCAAATATCTAGGACCTTCCGTCGTTGTGGTAGGCCCAGATTGTCGATCAGAACGCACTCAACGCCAAGTTCTCGCTGGTCCTACCTATCAAGGCATCTTCCCTAAAGTAGCCACTTTACCTCCGAGTGTACAACACTGCATATGGATGATATCGGTTCCTGTGGTATATCCACGACTTGAAGCCGTAGAAAGTCTCGCACATACCATGGCCACGGGTAAGAAAGCTGTGAATAGCACATATAACTTGCTCGGAAAAGTCACAAGTTCCGTGGCTGGAGTAGTGGGAGGCAAAGAAGCCGTGGCAACTGGCTTTTCTCATGTTAAGAAGGCAGTTGGCAAGTCAGGATTAATGGGAGGTGTGCTTAATACATTTGGTGATATTGATATTGCGGATGAGTTGAGAGACATGTGGACACACGAGAGTAAAGATCTGGAAAGAACATATTTAATACGGACTTTGCAAGGAATTGCTCATCAGAAGGGTATTAGGATGACATTCTTATCTGGCGGTAAGTTATCTATGCATCTTTTACAGAAGCACAAATTGCTGACTCATCCCTAGACGTAAATTGTTGCGGTGCAGGACTTGTCCATGATCCTTCTCACCCCTCTGATCACAAAACCATGTATCAAATTATCGCATCTGCAGTTGTCGCCGCTCCCCCTCCATCATATGTCCTCAAGATGCTCCACAATAACAAACCACTTTACGTTCCTCAAAATGGTGTCAAAACAACAAACCAAGTTAGCGATACTAAGGAAGACATGATGGAGATATTCCAGACGGACACCAACGGGGGACCACGAGATATGAAGAAGCTGATGGGAAGGAGAAATTACGTAGCGTTTGTTGCTTTTGATCCAGATTCAATGATGGGTGGCATGAGTGCAAATGGAAGTATGCACAGTGGAAACGCAGGATTGGCAAAGTTGAGTCTGGCTGTTGATTTTGTGGTGCAAGGGGATGGAGGATTCAGCCCACCTACCAAATATGGCCCTGTTATTGTACCAAGTTTGGAGTTTGGCAGATAATGAGAAAGGGGAAGGATTGGATCGGTATGCGATTTGCAATGTGTATGAGAAGTATCAGAAACGCGGTGCAGTTAATGAGATACTCTCGTGACGATTATAATCTTGATATATATCTATTGGACTGCCTCTTGCGTTGATTTGGTAGCATGCAAAGAGGGAGTAGGTGGGAAGCGATATTTACTGGGTAGCTGAAGAAGGCAGTCCTATGGAATACACATTTATGTATGCTTTCATCTAATGCCACGAACTAAGTGCTAGCTATGTATAATCGGATTGAAATCATATCATTTTGAGAAGCATGTTGAGGGAAACTTTTGATGACTATAGAAAGATTGATTGGATCACTGGATGGGGATGATAGTTGAATGGCGGTTGTCTTTTGTACTGTATTGTATCCACTATTTCTCTCAAAAGCTTTTGAATTCAATACCCTCGGAAAGAAGTCTTGAGTTTTAGAGAATATACTCACAAGATCCCTTCAATCTGTGTACAATTAAATTGTGATCTTCAGATATCTCGAGGCTGTCTACTCGTGTAGATCCAACGATAGTAAATGATAATGATACTCGAGTAGTGGAGCCAAGGGTTCTCGCTAGATCAATATCTTAATCAGCTTATATCCCTGTCAGGCTATGCCCCTCATTCCCCCTTCTAGTAAAACAGCCAGACCGCCAAAGTGTCAACTTTTCAAACTCAATCCTTCACTTCCTTCCAATTTAACTTCTCTCGTTCGTTTTCTTACTTTACCTTCAAACAAAACATTTCAAAATGACAGACGCCATAATTGCCAGTTTCCCCCCTCTCGCAGAGCGACCCATCAAAAACACCATCTGTCTTTTCGATGTTGATGGAACTCTCTCTCCTGCGCGGCTGGTATGTTACTCCCAACTTCTCAACGCCTTTCACTATGCCTCAACTAACAATCAAAACTACAGTCTGCCTCCGCAGAAATGCTCAATCTCCTTGCCGCTCTCCGCCAAAAATGCGCCATCGGTTATGTAGGTGGTAGCGACATGGCCAAGCAACAAGAACAACTCGGCACTGCTGAGATACCCGTTACCTCCATCTTCGATTTCTGCTTCGCCGAAAACGGTCTCACAGCTTTCAAGAGCGGTGTTCCCCTTCAATCGAATAGCTTCATCAAGTGGATTGGGGAGTCCCAATACAAAGAGTTGGTCAGGTTTATCTTGCATTATGTTGCGGATTTGGATATTCCAGTGAAGAGAGGAACATTTATCGAATTCAGAAATGGCATGATCAATGTTAGCCCAATTGGTAGAAATGCGAGTGTTGTGGAGAGAAATGAGTATGAGGTCTATGATAAGGAACATCATATCAGAGAGAAATTTATCGAGGCCTTGAAGGAAAAGTTCACTGGTCTGGACTTGACGTGAGTTTTTTGATCGCTCGGAAAATTAATTATGGGCTGGACTAATAACTTGCGACACAGTTACTCAATCGGTGGTCAAATTTCCTTCGATGTCTTCCCTACTGGCTGGGACAAGACATACTGCCTCCAACATCTTGAGAATGACGCAAAGCGCCCAGGTGGTATTGAATACACCACTATTCATTTCTTTGGAGATAAGACATACAAGGGAGGAAACGATTACGAGATTTACGAGGACCCAAGGACAATTGGTCACAGTGTGAAGAATCCAGATGATACCATGAGAGATATTAGACAGCTTTTTGACCTTTAGGTATATGGCATTTGCTGTAAAGAGGTATAGATATTAATTTAAAGGAGAAATAGGACAAAATTTATATTCATCTATCCCAAGCCCGATCTTGATAACCGATGGATTCCTCTCGCGAATAGCAAAATATCTTTGGAGGCTAACGCGGGGTGGATTAACAATCTCTAGACTACATATTCGATACGATGTTGACCCTCTTTCTTCTGTCGAAGAATCAATACCATAAAGCTAATAATCTAAGTGATTGTATAAGACAAAAGAGGAATGACAAGATTATCCCCCTCAGGGATAACACAAGTTGCATTATTTCCCGAATCATATGAACAATCCATGTCAAACTCTAGACTCCCAGACCCCTTAATAACGCTTCCATTCGTACAAGTCCACTCGTAGTTCGGCTCATAGTAAATCGTTCCTTTGTTTGGCGAACCGTCACTATGAGGATTGCTATCGCCAATGAAGGAAACTCGATACGCTACTCCTGCACAGAAGACAACTCCGTTGCCGACGTCGTAACGACGGAATCCAGCTGGATTGGTTTGCTCACATCGGTTGTATTCGCCAGGAGTGTTGATGCCGATTTTGACATCGTCTGGAGGGCCGAAACCAGCGGGTTGCAAGGGAAGACCGGTGTAACAGCCGTTTATGCCGCATTCATCACAGGGACCGAGATTACCATCACAGCCTACGAGGCCGTCAGATGTAGAGTTGACACATACGTTGGCTGGAGAGATTCTTAGCTTGGATTTTACAGGGATGGATTTGGGGAGTGGCATGGAAATGAGGAGGAAATAAGTACTTACGGACGTTCACCTGGTTGACACAATCTAAATTATGCGTGGAATTAAACCAGGTGAAAGTCGTCACCTCCCAGGTAGGTATGACGTCGCATTCTGGTGGTGGGGTGACGGCTTGACGAGTTTGGAGATGGGGGCTGAGGGGCGTACAGATTGCTGTACCCAGGAAGAGGAATATCAGGGGAGCGGTGAATTTTGTTAACATTTTGATGACTTTGAGAGTTTGAGAGAGATTAATTGTCTTTTTAGTCAAACAAACGTTGTAATTATTATTTAGCAATGGGAAAGTAGACGAGTATTAGTAGTACATGAGTAGTTACTGATTCACCAAATTCATGAACATCATAGTCTGTAAGTACCTAAGTGGATATGATGACAGAGGGGTACATTGACAACACGAAGATCGAAAAATCTTCAGTCAAACAGCCTGAAGGCGGGAATCGGTCATGGCCAATGAGAATGCCATCATCTTCGTATATCTGCAGCGGGGATCTTCTGGATGTCATCCCAGGTGGATTTTTCGGGTAGGGCTTGGCAGAGATTCGCCAGCTGAAATGCGCTCGCGCTCTCGCCTATCCCGATATACGAAATGCGCATGGACAGGCTGGACGAAAAATCTTACGTTATGTGATTACTCTGCATGGACATTGCGAGCCAAGCCCTTCCTTCCGGATTATCAAGCGCGCCGTCCATCGTGTATCGCGCATGGTCCATCGAGAACCTTTTTCTGTTTCGTAGCCGCTTCGTGTTCGTGGTGGGGGAGTCGTGTGTTGGGATATGTTAAGTACGTGAAAACCCCGGGCTCGAGAACCGCATTTTTCGTATACGCACGCCACTGGTGTTCTGCCTGGTGCATCGTACGAGTAGGTACGTGATGTACTTGGAGTATGAGTGGTTCAGGATGCGAATGCGGATGTTGGGTTGCTAGAGTATAGTGTGCTCTGGACATTTCTGTTCTGTGAAGATTGGTAACTGGCAATGCCTTTCATTGCTGACATTGACAGCTGTAACGTTACACGAGACTTCTGCAGGTCTTCCATTCTTTAGCTGCCTACAGCTCAGTATTGTAGAATCGGAAAATGCGCTGGCGAGAAAGGCTAGTTGGGGGCTGTGACATGGCAGGTCGTTGGAGAGCTAGATCAATGGTATGGGAATGGTCGGCTTGTCGTACATCTGTATATGTCGATATCACAGCGGCGATTCTGCGGATCTCTAAAGTTGTCTCGAATTCACGCTTGTGTGAGGATATAACTATCTAACAGTGTGTGAATTTTAGGAATTCCGCTGGAGTAGTATGATGAGAGGGATTTCTAGGGTATCTCAGGATCGCCTGTGCAGTTTTGTGTGCTAGAAGCTTTCCGTCGAGATAGTGTAATTGGGAGCTGGGAGTGGTGGAATTTATGAAATGAGATTGAAACGGTTGATTAAGGGTATGGATCGAGAAGAACATGTTATCTGTGTTTCCTAAAGAATTTCTGGAGCAGTTTGATAGTTCGCATTCTATTAATGGCAGTCGTCAGTAGCGACAACAATTTTTGTCGGCCAGAAGGTCACTCGTATGCGTTTTAGTCATCTGATTCCTTGAACTTTCAATGTTGTTCATCTCTCGTACCTCAAGATTGATTAGGAATATTTTTCCGTCGTTTCTGGTATGGTGCATACCCAATTGGATTTTGCTTTCCATTATGAAAACTGCATTTTCGTATTGGCAATTGAAAGTATTCCTACTTGGAACCATATTGAAAACGAACGCCCAGTTGAGAAAATGCATCGAGTTGAGCCCTTGCTTTGTCGTAGCAAATTTCCACGGGCTAGGTGGCCGTGGGGCTTTGTGTCTCCATGACGATGGCATTGGAGCTTAAGAGTTCTTCATGGTCTAGATAGAGGTTGTCTGCAACTTATTACTCCAAAGCGTCTTTTACTCATTGCCTCAAGGTCCGATGTGAGGAAAAGTGCTATCTTTATCATAGAGCCCAACTCGCTTGAAAAGAATACCACGCTTTCCTTGCGGGCAGACGTTTCCAAAAGGTAAAGAGCCTTCGTTGTTATTTGAAAGTCCCATGATGAGTATATAAAACGATGCCTTATTGATATTAGTGAAAATAGATGCACTTCATCCAAATGATTCCTGGAATCTAAACACAACCTCCGAAAATACCTTGCATTTTCATGGGCAGAGGATTCCTAGCCAATGTTGTCATTTTGCACTGATTGTTCACCAAGTTTAAATAGCAGTTTGCTAGCCGGTGTAAGTTGCTTGCGTCTTAGATGGCACTCATCAATTTCTGCCTATCAAAATATACCAAGTAGATCTTTGACTCTTGTGGAAATCAAAACAAACGATTGACATATGTAAGGTTCTAAGCTAAGTGGGCAGATTATTGGTGGGAATACTTGCGATATTGTATAACATTTCCCGAGGGAATAGAGAAGTACGACTGAAAACATTTCAATGTGTATAGAAATCGAGTCAATCCGTCCTGCTATCACTACACGGCTTAATGCCGGCTCGCAAAATCATACCGTTAACATACTGCCAAATTCCAAAATGAAAAAGGCACACTCACGCCTCCTCACATGATATAACACTCACATGATCACAACCTTCTGCATACCTCCGCTTCTCATCACACCAGCCGGATCAAACCCAATTGTTGCACATCTAATTTTCGCCTTCGACCGCCGTGGCTGTTCTCACCCATATATGCACGGCGAGATCCATACACATATACATGTATTCATCTGAGTGCATCAATCTATCAAATGGACACCAACACTCAAAACCTATCGGATTATCCGATAATACTCAAGCGAGACGTCTACTTGAGCGTTTGTATTTCATCTCTCAGAGAAGTGTGATTGGATGGATAAAATTGGTCGATAAATGCTTGTCTTTGCAGTAGTCAAAATGTTCCAGATTGTAAGATATGCAACGGTGGTGCGTGGGTGCGTGGATGCATGGGTGTATGCAAGTATGCGGCGGGAAGTTGCAGGCTGGTGTAACGATGGCGATTGGTTGGGCAGTTGGCTGGTGTGGTGATGGATGCATCGCATTTGTCTACTCGGGGGCAGGAAAGGGATACGAAACATGTTGGAGGTTTTTTGTCAATATAAGATGGAGATCGTTACGTACAGATGGATGCATTTTATTTGTTCCAAGTTTCAAATTCTACATTTTGATTATGCTCGCCTTCGACAGAGATATGTATCAACTGTGGCTGTTAACGCTTCATGGCCGGCGTCAGAATGAATTCTCATTGCTGTGAATCGTACACTAGATTATCTTTCCATCTTTCTATTCCTTCCTTATTTAATCATCAAAAAGAAGTAGTTTCCGTTTGGCATTTCAAGAGGATCGGTCAGTTCAGCACTCTAGCAACTCATGCAGTCGACCGAAACGTTCATCCCTGAAGACGACGCATCTTAAACTCAACCATATCAGACGCTGCAGTTCTATAATTGGAATCTTGTATCGTCACTCATATTGTAGACCCTTTATCGTATGGATTCTCAAGAAGCCAGATGACGACACCGTAGGTGAAGGATCTCCAGCCGTTGGGTGAGGAGGGAGAAATCGAGATCTTTACCTGTTGAAAGATGCATACGTCGCGGAGAGGGACGGATCGATGGTTCAATCCAAGAAGCCAACATCTTAATATCATATTGATCTTGTAATTATCTCGGCTGCTGATACGCACCTCTACATAGCCTCCAGCTAAAACCTGTGGATGAGACTACGATCTAGATCTAGATCTTCAAAGCAAAATTACATATTTGAGCCTATTTCGAAGCCTGTGTTCCAAATATCTCACGCTTGAATGCATAATTACAAGTGAAAGATATAACACAACGCTTTAATTGAAAATACAAACCATGTTATTTCGAGTATAATAGCCCAAGTGATGAGAGGCAGAATGGTGCACCTGTTGGTGATAAGAGTGTTATATCTGAAGTTTCTTCTTTATACCATAATGATAATGCGAATAAACACATTCAGTCTAAGCATGACTATAATGAGTCTTGGTATCCATTCCGACGAGAAGGAATGTACTAGACTTATAAGCATTGATCACTCAATTTTGTACAGATTCAATTCGAAAATTGAATGAAGGTGGTAAAACAAGCAATTTCAATTTGTTTGTCTCATGGATTTTCAAACAACAACACCAGTGGGTTATCATCTCACCATCGCAAAAGAATCAGAATTCGTACATCATCTCCCCATCATTCCCTAATCTCTCACTCGAGATTCTCATGCCTCAACCTAAGTCTGATACGCTAACGCGCTTCTCATTTTGAAATATTCTCCTACCACAATCGGTTCGTACTTCTTCTTCTCTCCCTCCTTGACACACTCCTCAAGAACTTCTATCGATTTATCTGTATCCGGTCCGCAGAAATATGGGATCGAATAACGCGCTTGTGTCATTCTTACTCCTTCCTTGGTGATTGTGTAGCGAGAGGCGGAGGGGGGGAGTTGTACGCGGTGGAGTGAGGATTTGAGATCATCTTGATGCGTTAGTATGTTTGCGATTGCACATCACACGATAAGAGCCCAGTTAATGGAGAGAGAAAATAAAGAAGGGATGAAATACCATTTGTCCATCTCATGAGTAGATCACCTATGTTCATTACAATAGCATTGTGAGCCGGATCCGCCCTGATGAATTCACCAGGTTTCTTCGGATGCTCAACTTCCAATCCTCCGCACTCGTCTTGAAATACCATGGTGATACTACCAAAATCGGTGTGGGCTGGTAGTCTTACCGCAAGTCCGCTTTCGATTTCAGAGGCGGGAATGGGAGGATAGTGGAGGAGTCGTAATTGGTTGGTATGTCCGGAATGGAAATCCGCAAGTAAGGAGGGAGTTTGAAGCTCTAGTCCTGTACCAAGGGCCAGGAGGATCATTTGTGAGGTAGTGGACAGACGGTGGTAGAAGGATTGCATGAAGGAGTGAAAGTTTGGGAGTGTGGATTCGGGAAGCCAGATGTTTGGTTGGGAGGGATTTTCCTCGGAGCCGATTTCATAACTTTCCTGTGAGGACGCTGTTAGTTGACCTTGAGCAAAACCGATTTGAGTGAGTGTCTTTCGCAGTTGAAGCTTCTGATAGAGTAAGACCAGAAAGATAAGAGGGCATCCCAAACAATCAAACAAACTCACTTTACAATCCTTCACTCCCCTCATTTTCTCCCCCAAGTCAGTATCATCACTAATAACCTGATATACTTTCTCCAAACCCGGATACGAGTATCCTCTATGGATACTTGGGCCGGGTGGATGCGGCGCTTGCATCTTTGCCTCGTGTGGAAGGTCGAAAAGCTGTTTCGTCACTGCAAAAGCTTCTTCGAGTAATGATGAGGGGACGTCATGGTTTATGATGTACACAAAACCGAAATGACGACAAGCGTTGACGAGGGCTTTCGCAGTTTCGAGACGGGATGTTGGAGAGGTGGGATGTAGGAAGGGAGCAAAGTCAACAATTGGGATTGCGGAGGTGGAATTAGACGTCATGTTCAGGAGTTGTTTAAATAGCTTTGAATAATATGAAGTAGTTTCAGATACTGGAATTATTTTCAGACAGCAGAAACAACAAATCTGGTGATGCTATTCTCACGATTTCAACTAGACTGCAGTGCGGAATATCGGAAACACCGTCAACAAGAAAGTGTCTTATGAAAAGTGAAATGGAATCGTAAATAGCAATTGGATTAGTTGATCAGTTGAGAGATAATTTTCAGTGGAGGAGGTGATAAGTCGTGACGGAGTCCACAGTATAGTCTATGCTATCTTTCGAATCAAAAATTTGGATTATGACACCAGCTTCGCAATATTGATATGCAGAGTGAGCGACTGACTACACAGTATTACCGCACCAGCATTTCCTGAATGCCATCAGCTTGTTCGGCCAATATCCACCGACCATTCTTTGATTTCCCTTGAATAGAGTCGAACAATATGCGAAAGGCTGACAAATCCAAAAAAATTGTCCTTCCTATATTATTAGAATGTATCTCGTCGCTCCGCCGAGAATTAAGGAGGGGTTGGGTCTGGGGCCGTACGTCGTTGATGCGAGCGTGCATATATTTATTAGTCAGCACTGTGAAACCTTCGGCATATGCAAGTCAATATGAACTAATTTATTGTTTTGAAGTGGTTTTTATTGGTCAGGTTTCGAGATTGAAGGACGGTACATGGAAATTACCGATTTGGATATGTGTTGAGCAACATGTACACTTACCTTCGATGTCTCTTCTTTGAACTCTAAAAACACCCCTTTCTAATGTATTCCCAACAAGAAAATGCTTCTAGATCTATCATTTACCTGACCTTCAATAAAGCATTCCTGTAACAATCTATGACTGGACACTACAAATAATTCGAGTTACATGGGCGGTGTGAGTTGCTTAGACACACATGCCAACTGACTTACCGTGTACATTCTGGTACAGTAATATTTCCACCGTGTAAAGAGCCTTTTCTCATGGATAAAGAAACACCACCATCAACTAACTGGGATCGTTAACATGCTACTGTACTCAGCTAGTAGCATCCAGTCTCACATGTAACTACAAAGAGTGAACAACTACGGTGAGTCAGGTGCTGAAGACTGCAACTTCCGTCCTAGCCTTACTTTTCGCTTCACTCATCAATAGTTCTCGAGGTTTTCAGAGAAGCCACCCTCCCACAACAGAAACGAATGCATCCGTATCTCGGTCAACTTATGATTAACAGACGGACGTACAGCGGCAGCGTTCTAATGCAGGCAGCTTATTCTGAACGGTAATCTTGACCCTCGCGATATGCAATTCAAGATTTGAGATAAGTTCTTTCAGAGCAGGCAGCTTAGTTCCAATGTGCTAGTAATCCTATGAGAGATCCATATTGGAAGTACACGAAATTTTCAAGCCCAACTACTCCTAGCCACACGGAACCGCATTGCCAGCAGAGTAGACGAGATGAAAAAGAAGCGATCGAGTGATATGCATTACCCTATGAGAGATGCAATAGAAAAATGGGATAGGAACTTCATGGGGAACGAGAGTAAGATGGTGGAAAAATAAGAGTAGACTCCGTAGTCGGTATGTAGGAAACAATGGAGTCTGCGACTTGATTGAAATGATAAGAAGCACTTGCATGAGTTGTACTCAAACGAGGTGAAGGAAGGAAAAATTAGAGGAAGTCATGAAGCATGATGAATGATATTGATTCGCACTCTTCGAGAAAAAGGAAAAGAAAAAAAAAGCTGACAGTTGACGCGAGTATTCAGGAGGCTATCGATACTTCGAGTTACTCTCTGATATCTCATTTTTTCTACAACTCGGCTGCCTTCCTTCCAGAATTCATTTCATCCATTGATGCAGTACAAGGATTTCGATCCCCAACCTCGCACTCTCTTCAGGACAGCCTCACCTACACCCCAGAAGCGTGGGGATGCTGTCCAGCAAGCAATGCGTATGAAACTATCCCAATAAAGCTCTCTTCATGCTTCCCAATATTCCAGCCGCATTAAGATATATGAATAGAAACAATAGGGATGAAGTCCATTTAGGTATTCGAAAGCGAAATATCTACGAAACTTATGCCTCCCTTTCATTAGTATAATAATATAAAATCAATGTCGGGAGATTCCGGCTCGTGAGAGAAAAAAAAGGGTAACCAGAAGCATTGACCCCCATACATGCAAATTCACTCCACCCATCTCCTCGCTTACATCTTCGCTTTAAGTATTTTTCTAGAACGTACAAGAACGCCCCCCGTCTAATCTAAATCTGTACTGCCGAAAAGCGGAGCTTGCAATGGCCCATCGAGCGAGCCGAGTGAGCTAATTCTTAGTCAATCTTTAGTTTAAAGATAACAGGAACGATAAAGACATCCAAGCATGTGATAGGTTGAAAGAGATGTCAAGGCTTTTTGTCATGCAGGATTTCATTGGATAATTTCAACGACGATAAGGCTAATGAGTTCCAGGGGCAGAGACTAGATGTTTTCAGGTTAGGAAGCATAGCTTATCTGGAGTGAAAGATAAGAGGTTTATTGATTATTTGTTGATAATTTTGAGAGGTCAAAGGGGAGATCTTGGAAGATTGGAGATTGGGGGACTGGTTGATGTCTTAGGAGAGGAGAGAATAGAAGAGTACGTCATGATGGGAGAAGATGTAATTTCAGCTTGAAACTGGGCTATGTACGATATATCTGGGCAGATTGATTGTTCGGAGTGAAATTGTAAATCTTACTAGTTGTTGCATAGAAATCGAAAATAGGCGAAGATGAAGGGGTAAGCGGAAGATACTCACACAATGGTATATCACCGTTGTATTGAGATCAATAAAAGCAAAGGAAAAAGCCTGAAGAAGTACAAAGAAAAATTTTGATGTCCATGAGTATACCATTCTATGCAATACCAGGAGCCACAGACTACCAAGTAGCAGGATAGGCACATAGGGTACCTTTTTTGCAGGCGCCATACGCGGGGGGCAGACAAGCATGTTGACGACAAACTGGGGAGAGGAAAGGATGTGAGAGTGTGGGTGAGGAGCGAAATCGGGGGAAGATTGTTCTGGATATTGAATTCTTTCGACTGATTGATCAGGTGAGAAAGAATCCTTCGATCGAAAAAAAAGAAAGAAAAGAAGACAACTCCCTCTTGATACTCACGCGGGAATCAGACTTTTAAATATAATATTGGGCTTTGATATCAATCTATCTCTCAAACATGGTGAACCAGTCAATGCAACTATCATCAGATCATATCAAATCAGATAATCAATCCTCCAAACTCAAACCAAAAACATATCTCTGTCATTCGCGCCCTGTCTCGAGCGTGCTTACCTACTTTTTGGAGATATCCCTACGACCCGCATGAATACATGGCACCTTTACTAAAGTATTCAATTCTCGTGCGTCAACATAGGCTATGCTCGTCAAGGATATGTACCCCATAATTGAAGGTTGGGAAGTCGTGGATCTGTAATTTCTGCAATTTCAGTACATGGGTGATATCGGAAGGTAGAGGATTAATGTGGTCGAGAAAATTACTACCAATCTCCGTGAAGATGTGAAGATGATAATTTGTGAATAATTCACATGTGTTGGGGGATCCAAAATACTATATTGGATGTAAATGGAAATGGAAATGGAAATGGAAATAGCAATCGCAATAGCCTCATTTCTAGACTTTCAGCCATAATCGTGGGATGTGTATCTTCAGATTATATGCTGCCTGACAATTGCGATTTCGGGCATGATATGATTCGATATGCTCAAAGATCTAATCAGAAACTATGCATTGACTGGCTTACATTTTGGAATTTGGGGAATCAAGATACACATATAATTGACCAATGATATGTGATATCATATCTTCAGATGTCATTTGTGTCACAAACATCTACCTGTCTCACGACCTTCATATCTCTTGGCCTATAGTACGAAATACAAATCTGGAACTGTTAATTTTTCCCGAGTATTTTTTAATTGTGCTTCAAGCCGCCGCGCATGGGATAAATGAGTCCACCTCTCACACGAACATCCCACGTCGAATCCAGCGACATGGGTACGGAGCAAGAAACTAAACTGGGTAAACTCTCGGCCCGTCGATCTAAAAAGATCTGCCTAGTACAGTGTACTGTTGCTTGTAGACTCGTAGACCTCATCCGAATTCGCGTGAAGTATGAAAATGGTCTTCCCTGTGAGCTGATCAAATTTTTGAATGTGATTAGCATATTTGGACGGATCGCTTGTTATGAAACTACTGTTCAGATATATTTTGCTAGACGGAATAACCGACAGATAGATCCTTTGGGTCAGAGTACCTAGGTAGGTCGCTACGTAGTACGTATACTGTAAACAATATTGAATGGATGGATGGACGGATGCTCGATCTTTGAGTAAAGTTGGTATAATTATCCGATCTCTTGGTACATATCCCTCCATATCCATAACATGGATGCATGGCTTGGTATTTGTGGTTTCTTGAAGATGCTTGTCCAAGGCGTTCCTCATCCCTAAGTGTAAGTGTCTGTGGATATCATAATTATAAGGTTTTATAGCTGCCACTTGCTATGCGGACTAGAATTCCCATGTTCCGTATTTTTAAAGCGGAAGAGCTCCACCATCTTAGTCGAAAAGTACTAAAGGAAAGAACAGTCCCGATTTCTAGCGATTTTTCTCAGATTCCATTATTCGAGATTAATTTCTTTAATCTTTTGGATTTGGGATTGTTTGATTGTTTTGCAACTTTGTCCGGTCTTTCTTATTCACTATCTACCTAGCTAGTATCAAGGATATTCTTGATACTCAACTCTGCTATCAATCTACCTCTTAATTATCTCCGGATTAGGTCGTGAGACATCATCAATAGTTGTAAAACTACCCAAACCACCAATTCTTTCTGTTGTAATCAAAACAACTCCTTTATAATTCGAATATCAATCGTATTCTCCTACTCCTCCGAAATCGCCAACATCTGTACTGGGCCAACGAAAAACGAACTTTACGTCATTCTGAAGGCATTCCCTGTCCAAAACCTCGACACAAAGGGAATCTCGAGGGAAGAAAAGGCCGACAGGAAGGGCAATTGAAGGAAATTTCGAAATTTAATAACGATGTCGAGTAACGAATATTACCCCAATTATGGCTATGTTGGAGCTCCTGCAAATTATAATGGTACCGGAGCCAATGGTGGCGATAGTGGTATGTTTCCATCTCTTCTTCGAATCTTCGAGCACCAAATTGTACCTCCACAATTTACACATTCCGCATGCATCTCTCATCTCAATTAGCTCAACAATCTCAAACCTCACCTCAATCCCTTCACAATGCAAAAAATAAACTAACATTTGGTTCCCAAATTAGCCGTCGTAAATTTAAATCAATGGTTCGATCCAGGTGATCAGGCTTTTATCATCGTAGCATCATGTATGGTTCTACTTATGCCCCCCGGTCTGGGCTTTCTATACTCCGGTCTGGCACGTCGAAAGTCTGCGCTCTCGATGATATGGGCTTGTATGGGTGCCTTTTCCATAATAGTTTTCCAATGGTATTTCTGGGGTTACTCTCTGGCTTTTAGTTCGACGGCTACAAATGGGTATATTGGAAACTTGAAACATTTCGGTTTGATGAATACGCTGGGTACACCAAGTCCCGGAAGTCCTTTGATTCCCGAGTTGTTGTATAGTTTTTATCAGGTATGTGATTCTTGGTCTAGGGTTTGCAGGAGAGGGAGGGCTAATGATTGAAACTCAGTTACAATTCTGCGCAACAACTGCCGCAATTGTCGTAGGAGCTGTCGCTGAACGAGGTCGTTTGGTTCCTATGATGGTATTCATATTCTTTTGGGCTACAATTGTGTACTGTCCAGTCGCATGTTGGGTATGGAATGTCAACGGTTGGGGATTCAAATATGGTGTTCTCGATTATGCGGGTGGTGGACCAGTCGAAATCGTTTCGGGTATGTCCGCGCTTGCATATTCGATGGTCTTGGGCAAGAGACAAGAAAAGATGATGTTGAATTTCCGACCACATAACGTCTCGTTGATTACCTTGGGTACGATTTTACTGTGGTTTGGATGGTTAGGATTCAACGGAGGAAGTGCTTTTGGAGCCAATTTAAGAGCTGTCATGGCTTGTTGGAACTCGTGTTTGGCAGCTATGTTTGGAAGTATCACCTGGTGTTTGTTGGATTGGAGACTCGCGAGAAAATGGTCAGTATTCTTTCATCCATCCTAAAAACCTTCAAGCTAATAGAAAATAGGTCCATGGTAGGCTGGTGTTCAGGCTGTATCTCTGGTCTTGTAGCCGCCACACCCACATCCGGATTCATTCCCCCTTGGGCCTCCGTCATTCTCGGCATTGTCACCGGTATCGTCTGCAATTACAGCACCAAAATTAAGTTCTGGATCCGCATTGACGATTCCATGGATGTGTTAGCTGAGCACGGCATGGCCGGTGTCGTAGGACTAATTTTCAATGCTTTGTTTGCTGCAGACTACATAATCGGTCTTGACGGTGTCAACACCGGAGTCATTACCGGCGGCTGGCTCAACCACAACTACAAGCAACTCTATATTCAAATTGCCTATATTGTCGCCTGTACCGCCTATTCCTTCGTCGTTTCCGCCCTCCTCGCTATCATCATTAACTACATCCCCGGTCTTCATCTCCGCGCCTCAGAAGAAGCTGAGCTCCTTGGTATGGACGACGATCAACTTGGCGAATTCGCATACGATTACGTCGAGGTAAGACGTGACTACCTTGCCTGGACACCCGCAAAAGATGAACCAGAAAACGTGGAAAGTAACGTAAATCCCGAGGATCGTCACGGTATCCCCGAACACTCAGACATGATAACCGGCCATTCGGATATGATTACGGGACATGCACCAGGGAGTGGAAGAAACAGTGGAAGTGAAGCGGATGCGAGGGCAGGAAATTCTCATTCGACGATTATGGGTGACAGACACGGAATTGCTGCAACAGATAAAGAGAAGGCTGCTTTGGCGAGAGAGGCACAAAATAACTGAATAGGGCTTTTGACACAAACTACATAATATTGGGAGGGGTTTTTTTTTGGAAATCTTTGGATACGACAGGATTGCTATATTGCGAGGAGTTGAGTGCGGGAAACTTGGTTATGAGATATCTATTTTCTTTTTCATGCATGTTTATGTTCTGGAATGATGAGTGGACCGGGGCAAGGAAAATATGTACTCCATATGGTTTGGTGGGTGGGATTATTTGATTCCAAAAACATTCGCGTGGATAGTGTCGAAAATTTATTGTCTATAGAATTGATGTAAGAGGGATGTAAGTAACTATTGATGAATGAGGTGGAAATGAGATGAATATATTATCAGACTACATACTTGTTGGTGTATAAAATTTTCGATCCTATCTATAATGAATGTGAATGCAAGAATAGGAATGTGTGAAATCCGTACACATACGAGATAGACCTGTTCTAGAAGCGTAGATACACGGATTGCGAGGCATACAAGTGGATATAAAGATCTATTGAATGAGCTGTCGCTGCTTAGATACTAGTCTCGCTGGATCTTATACTACCCAATGCAACTTGTCTTAGGAGCTCCTTGGAAATCCGAATTCTGGAAATAGCAGCGACGTCAACAACTCAAATGGTTGACGTCAGTTTTAACATGTTTCTCCATCATGACATCACAATCACAATCAAAATCACATCTATCACACCCGTGCTGGTCTGCATATGATGCAAGTGATCGCGCGCATCGCACCCAGCAGGACTAAATCTCCGTTGGGAGTTTGGGGTGCATGTATGTATGGATGGATGTATGTGCATGGGACGGAGATTGAGGGATGCATGGGAGGAAGGAGGGAGGGAAGGCAGGGAAGATTGTAAACAGGGATGTGGGATATAGGATGTGGAGATAAGGATTTGGGAAGGAGGGTAAGGATAGAGAAGAGAGGTAAGGAGTACTGAGGGTGGTGATGCTGTGTGGTGTGGTGCTGGTATAGAGTGTATGCATGCATGCTTATCAGTGAGAGGGATGCAAGGCGGGTTGGGCCGGATGGATGGTGTGCGCACGGACTCGGGGATTTGTTGCTTGGGAATTGGGAATTGGGAATTGGAAAGTGATGATGGGTGCGATAAGGAGATTGTAGAGAGACTGAGATGTGTAGATAACATGGACGGGAAGTTGAGAGAGGTGTCGATTCGAGAATGTTACTATGTGGAAGATTGATGGATGAGGGGATGTTGGCTGGGGCTGTGAATGCTTGGGGAGAGCTTGGGGATTCTTGGCTTGATAAGAGCATTTTTGGAGTTTTTGAACTGCGATTGATTTGGATTGGAAGAGTTTTTCACAGTTTTGATGTTCACATGTGTGGCTGTGTTATCGATAGGTGGTGGAGGTGTGGAAATAGGTTGAAGGTTGAAGGTTGAAAATTGGAGGTCAAGGTGATCTCGCTAAGCGCACCAAAAAGACTGCATACCACGAGCAAGTGTAGAATGATATCGAAACCGGTATATGAATTGAGATAAAGTTTTGAATGTAATTAAACTCTAACGAAGCTCATGTACCGCTATTTCGGTGCTATTGACATAAGGATAGCTCCAAAAACGTCAACTTTGGTGTCTTTCTGGGCGAGATATCGGCATGTTAATGGCATGTTAATGGTCTAGCATTTGTACTATTTCATAAACACTTGTTATTTCAGATCGACTTTATTGACGAGGGGATCAAGTAGTCGATGTATGCATGTTAAAATTCATGGTTCATTTGAATTTTGGTGAAAATGCGAAAGAATGCGGTATACATACATGATCCGAAGAAGAAGAATGTGGAACAAAATTCAGCCATCCACATTCCAACGGGACATAAATTCATAGTTCAAAGAATGTTTCATATACTTGAGATAGTGTGCATTACAATAATCTTGCCTGCATGAGGAAACTTCGTTAATACATTTCGCAAACGAGCACTTAAATAGACAGTCACAACGAGACGTTGAGAATAGGACGCAATATTATTAAAAAAACTTCCAAGAATTTGGATATTGAGATGCTCAAGACACAACGCTAATTTGATCTCCAAGCATGCTTCATCCAGTATTGAGTATTTGTAGAGGCGAAGACCTCTGTTTGTCGAATACATGCATGGTCTAATGCATACCTTAAATTTAATCATAGAAGCCCAGTAATTTGATAATCAAACTCAGACCAGGTATACTCTGCAACTTCCCGGGAGATTCCTCAGGTAGCCACTGATATTACTGATGAGATGGACCGGTGTACACAAACAGCGGTGATAGTTTTGACATCGTAGGCGGCCTTAGTGATCTTGACAGGACACTTGATAATGGCTGATCAGAACTCTAATGTGCTTACAATATGCCATCACTGAATGGAAAATTTGGTATTGTATCATCTTTAGAAGTGACGAATTTCTTATGATATTCACTCAGTATAAAGATTGTTGGTGGAAACTACCATGTAGTATTGTATATCCATAGTTGAAACCTTTTCTTCGGTGCCGGTAATCATAATAAGTTGCAAAACCGCCACATCGCGATATCCGTTTGTTCTTTTATTGCGTCGAGGAAGTACATTGAATGCAAGTACCCGCTACCCATCAAGCTGGCATTGCGAGATCCCGACTGCTGGTAAAGTCTGGGTAGACGCAAACGGAATCTGAGTCGCTGATAGGCTTCTATCGAGAGTATCCCGTATGGCCGGTTACACCACTGCCGTAGAAAAGCAAAAAGATATCTGCAAAAGGCGCTGCCAGACGGTGTCCTCTAACCAATAATTTGATAGAACGAACAATAAGAATTTGAATTCCAGCCACAATTAAGCTCTTTGCGGGGTGTCACATGATGACGCTAAATGACGCGACAAGTCGCGTTTGTTATCGCGATGTCGCAAAACATCAACATATTGCCTGTCTACTGTTGCACCTAACAATTTTATGATCTTCATCGACTTTCCAAAGCGGAACTGACATCAGATACCAATGGAGCTACCAAACACTCAGTACCATATTCACTCCTCATGACTCGACATAATCTTCAAAGTCATATATCTTGGTTGATTAAAAACAAAGTTACTACCCCCGCTGGAGTTCAAATTCCTGTATTTGCAGACACGATTGAACCAGGATTCGCGAATTTGGAGGGTTTCGGAGGGGAAGACATCGCACACGAAACAAGAAATACACCAATTGCTCCAATTCGAAATCGCCGAGTCCAAGAAATCTCCAATGTTGTGGCGAATTCACACCCACCTCGTCCCCGTATACTTACTCCGATAACACAATCTACATCAGTGCCTGGGGACGAATTGGCAGATCCGGAAATGGGAAAACTCACATCAGCGCGAAAGACGACTAGACCAAGTCTCATGAGTCAAAATCAACAACTTGGAACCCCTTCCTCCACGGCCAGTTCCTCCCTTACAAGAAGCTATAAGCTACAATGTAATGAAAATGGTCTGTAAATGAAAACTATCCACTTTGGTTCATAGACTGATTCTATTAGGCACGCCTTCCAGACCCACATCCACAAGAGAACCGAGAGGTCTAACTCCTCGCCCAACTCCTCGCCCGGTTCCGTTGCCGAAAAGCAGAGTCAATTTCGACAATGTGGAATCAATAGATCTTACCGGGGACGATCTGACTGGCGCTCCTATCGTAAATTCTTCTAGCACAGTGGAAGCTTTTGAAGACGCCTCTGTTACTTTGTGGGATGAGAGGTCAGCATCCAGACCGGAACCTTTGAAGAGGGCGAAGAAACGGAAGAGTGAGGAATTATCTATGTTACAATCTCCTCGAAAGTCTAAGAAAGTACCAGTACACGCAACAGAACTGCAAGACGGGCAACACGATTCGTTTATGGACATCGACAAATTAGAAATGCCAGGGCCATCATTTCGAGATACCCTTCCCGACTCCCAACGAACAATTGTTCCACGCAAAACAGAAGAGGAGTACCCTGATCTGGATTTATTGGAAGAAGTTGATATGGTTGGAGCAATGATTTCCCAAGGCGAACGTGCGAGATCTAAGATTCGAAGTCGACAAAACTCTGAGGATATTGTTATGGACAGAAGACCAATACGAGGAACGACTCCTGTACCCACAATCAGTTCTCAGAAACGTGTTACACCTCTTAAGGTGCGATATGGTTCGCCGGTTCAAGTACAAGCGTCTCCTGCTATTAGAAGTCGTGAAATGCGAGCAACGAGAACCCCGTCACCCCTCACACATCATAGGCTTAAGAAAGAAATTTTTGACTCGGACGATGACGACGACAGTCCATCAGAGGTAGAGGCAAGAGTAAGCTGCTCGCCTTGCCCACCGTCGATAAAAACATCGAGGGGAACCTGTAGCACGCCAGGAAATCATGTAATGCCCAAAAGCCAAACGCACGAGAACAGTGAAGTAACTCCCGCCAAGAAGAGGTTTACTAGCCCACTACAGCCGATATCACAAAATGCATCATTTCGCCAAGAGAACGAGCCATCTCCTTTCCAACGGGATTCTCCTACAAAGTATATGGCTTCACAGACTTTGCCCCAACGAGGCTCGAGTCAGGCCTCAACAGCTTCTTTGGGCTTCGAAGAAAAAAGAATTGTGAGCTTGTATCTGAAGAATCCAACGGCACTTACACCTTTCCAGAAACATCTGGACAGTCTTCTCAATCAAAATTTTGAGGCACTTCAAGTCTATCTTGAGGATGGTGAGCATCCTCCGGCAGACATAGTAGCCGAGCGAAAATCTATGCTGGACCAGAAAAAGGCTTTCGAAGCTCTTGCGGAGAATCTGCAAGGACTCCAAGATCTCGCTGCAAAAACAACTGCTGCCTTACAAAGGTTTTATATGCAAGATGAAGATAATGGAGAGTCTGAGGTACTGACTAGTGAACTGTTGGAGAAGAAGAGAGAATGTTGGCGTTTATTAGATGCTTCTGGCGCAGTAAACTATGGTTTCGGGGCTATCCCGTCTACAAGGACTCCTCTTTCCACCCATGCTTCAAGTGCGGGTGCAAG